TGTTTTATCATCCTTGTAGGAGGCTTCTCTCATGTCCCTGCATGAGGAGCTGGAACTGATAGAGGGAGCTCATCCACCTCTCCCCGAATTCGAACCTGCAACCTGTCGGTCTTTAGTCCTGCCGGCACAGGGGTTTAACCCACTGCGCCACCGGGGGCTCCTCATATAGGAGTAATATTGCAGGTTGTGCTCAGAATTTTGGGATGAATGAATATTGCAAAGGGAGAAAAGATGTTATAACTGTACTGTGCTCCCCACTGGGTATGCACATGTTGCTGAGATTTTGAGGCAGGGGGCGAGGATCCTTCAATTTTGGAAAGAAAGCAGACTTTCAGAACATTATTCTCAAGCAAAGGTGGGAATCCCTTTTCCTATTGTATTTAATGTAGTTGTTTTTCAATATATTGCAAGCTCCCTCAAAGGAAGGGAGAATATAAATACACAAATTTAATCTATGTATTCTTAGCACCTTTTGTACACACACTGACTGAGGTGGTAGTAAGCAAAGTTCCTAAGAGCCTTGTCAGTTAACTTGGAAGAAAGAATATAATTTGAATGAATAATTTTGTTTTACAGTCCTTGCATCCAGGCCAGGAGACCTGATGCCTGGTAAAAATTCTGGACGATGAGCCCTATTATTTTCTGAGCACTGGTGCAATTGACAAAAATGAAGAGTTGTGAAAATGTCTATCAGAGGCTTAGTCAGTGGTGAAGAGAGCTAGAACTGATGGTGGGCATAACCAAAGTCAGACGTGCATGGAGTTTACAACATTCTGGGGTTAGGCATTGCACTGTCTCTGGCATAATTGTGGAATGGAATTAAAGGTATCTGAAATTAAACAAATGAGTCTCAAGAAATTGGAAAGTCAGATGTCCCCTATCCACTTCTAGAATATAAGGGCAGTGGGATTTGGACAAATCTCTTCTTAGCCTTCAACTCATTAATCTGACTACTTTATAGTGCTTTCAGTTTCCTGAATGGTATCTGTGTCTGTTTACCTCACTCTACCCATCCACCTATCTATCCCATAATAAAATCCATGGTGGAAGCCCTGCCACTTACTAAGCCCATATTTCCAGGAGAGAAACTGATAGAAAAGCATTTTTCTCTTCCTTTAACTTACAATTGTTCACTTCCCGGTGCTTTGGACAACTTAGCAATATTAGAATCCATATGACATCACTATATATTTATTACCAATATTTCTTTAGTTGTTGAAGGCACTTATTGGGCAAAGCCCTCTTACTACATATTAAATATGATGTAGCACTCCATTTTTTAAAAAGTCTATATTTGAAAAATATTGATCATATTTTATTTACTTCCAAGATTTCTGCCAAAATTTCTCAGTAGAGGTCCACAGACAAACTAAACTACTGCCTGCTTTTGCTTTCATTCATTAATTGTTTGGAGATGTATATGCTTTTATGACCCTAGATTTAAGAGGCCATTCACTATTTGAGATGTATAGTGTTTTAGTGAGCTGAGTTCTACACTCAATTGCTTAAGAAAAGCTTTTGAGATAATTACCTGAAGAAGTGAAAAAGATTCCTCCATTATTCATAATGCCATGGATGCCTGCCATCTATAAATCAGGACATATGAGAGCATCCCGGTTTTAACATTCCATCTACCCTCCCCCCAGATTTTTTTTAAAAAAGTCAATTTTCATATTTGGCATTTTACATACATTTCTGTGTCTCCCTCCAAAGTAAAAAGGGGCAGCACATGAAGTGAGTTGATTAGAAGCCCCAACAACATTAAGTTTATTAACTGAAAATCAACTTACAAATTTGGCATTGGCTAAGGCAAAACCCAATGGACCAGATCTTTGCTTTTGAAAGAGATTTGCTCTCAACCCCTACACCAGTTCCCAAATTGTAGGCTTATGATCTAGACAAAATCTACAGGATCTCATCTCCCCTGGATCTGGGTGATGCCTTTTCATTATGATTCCATTTGTCACCAAAATTTCCCTGTAGTTGTTGTTGTATACTTTTAAGAATGGAGAAAACATGGACTCACATGTCTATTGCATGGAAACTATTACCATCTCCCACTTTTGGCAAGCCTCCTCCTCATCTTGACTGACACCTGCTGGTGAGACCTGAGTGCTTGGCAAGTCTCTGCCTCATGGAGCTGCCTCCTTTCCTACCACTAGTCTAAGTCCATTGATTGCTAGCCTCTGCTGCCAGTATCACATCCAAAGTCCAAATCCCTTCCTTTTGTACCATGGGGAGGATGCTAAATCAATTGAATGGCCCTGGCTCACTGCTATGGAATCATGGGAATTGTAGCTTTACAATATCTTTATCCTTCTCTGCTTCTGCCCAAGAATGATGTTCTCTCACCAAACTACAATTCCTATTAGTCCATAGCATTAAGCTGTAGCTGTGAAAAAGGTATCAAAACACATTAATTCTACAGTGACAATGAACCCTACATCTAGGAAATAATTATTTCAGAAATTCTTGCAGAGTTTTTGCCTGTCACAGTTGAAAGCACTGAACTACCTAGACCAGTGGTTTTCAACCTGTGGGTCCCCAGGTGTTTTGGCCTACAACTTTCAGAAATTCCAGCCAGTTTACCATTTGTTAGGATTTCTGGGAGTTGAAGCCAAAACATTTGGGGACCCAGAGGTTGAGAACCACTGGTCTAGACAGTAGTCTTAATGCAGCATATAAAACAGCTTCCTGAGTACTTCTAGATCAGGGGTCCACAAACTTTTTAAACAGAGGGCCAGGGCTCAAAACAGAGGGCTCAAAATGTTGGAGGGCCGGATTATAATTTGAAAAAAAAAACATGAATGAATTCCTATGCACACTGCACATGTCTTATTTGTAGTGCAAAAAACACTTAAAAACAATACAATAATTAAAATGAAGAACAATTCAATAAATATAAACTTATTAGTATTTCAATGGGAAGGGTGGTCTGCTTTTGGCTGATGAGATAGGATTGTTGTTGTTGTTGTTGTTGTTGTTGTTGTTGTTGTTGTGTGCTTTCAAGTCGTTTCAGACTTAAGTTGACCCTGAGTGAGGGCCGGGTAAATGACCTTGGAGGGCCGCATCCGGCCCCTGGGCCTTAGTTTGGGGACGCCTGTTCTAGATGAAAAGGTGGCACTACATGAATATTTCTTTTATATGAAGATTAACATCTCCCTCCCTGGTTACACAGAGGCATGAGAGCAACTACTGTTTATTGTTTATTTGTTCAGTCACTTCTGACTCTTCATAACCTCATGGACCAGCTCACGCAGAGCTCACTGTTGGCCGTGGTCACCCCCAGCTCCTTCAAGTTTAAGCCAGTCACTTCAAGGATGCCATCCATCCTTCTTATCCTTGGTCATCCCCTCTTCCTTTTTCCTTCCATTGCCCCAACATAATTATCTTCTCCAAGATTTCCTATCTTCTCATTATGTGGCCAAAGTAGAGTCTCCCTTATCCAACCATCTCTCATCCAACATTCTGTAGTATCCAACGCAGTCTGTGTCTTGCCCAAATCCATAGCTGTTTCAATACATTGTGAGGTTTTGGTGCTAAATTTGTAAATACAATAATTACTGTATTTACAAATTTATTTATTTACCATGAACTGAATTGCTTTTTCTGTCGATTTATTGTAAAATATTATGTTTTGGTGCTTAATCTGTAAAATCATAACAATTTAATGTTTAATAGGCATTTCCTTGATCCCTTCTAAGTATCCAACATTTTTGCTTATCCAATGTCCTGCCGGCACATTTATGTTGGATAAGTGAGACTCTACTATACTTCAGCTTTGCCTCTAATATCCTTCCCCCCAATGAGCAGCTGGGCATTATTTCCTGGAGTTATGGACTGCTTTGATCTTCTTGGGGAACTACTGCCTCCCAAATGTGGGACTGATTTCTGCACTCTAAATTTGCCTCATTACATTAGGGATGCAGTTTGAAGATAGCTTTCAACTCTGGCGGCCAGGCAACAATCTCCCAGAAACATGCATGAAGGGAAGCCCTTAGTGTACATCAGTGCTCTGTGTCTTGCGCAATCACCATTTGGTCTCAAACTGGTTCCAAGATTTCCTGTGTAATCAGCTGCATAGAGAAATCTATTTCCTCAGTAAATCTTAGAAACTGGGTTGTTGTAGGTTTTTCGGGCTGTATGGCCATGTTCTAGAAGCATTTTCTCCTGACGTTTTGCCTGCATCTATGGTTGTGAGGTCTTGTGAGGTCTTATGAGGATGCCTGGCATAGATGCAGGCAATAGTAAAGTTTATTGATTAGTCCACTGACCATATCAACAATAAAAGACAAAAACAAGAAAATACACAAATAGACACTACTCACTGTCTTAAAACTCCTGTAATAGTGAATATACATTAAAACACAATTAAAACTTGATTATGTTAAAAGTTAAAGATAATTAAATATCATCAGATGCAGGTGAAATATCAGGAGGGAATGCTTCTAGAACATGGCCATACAGCCCGGAAAATCTACAACAACCTAGTCATTCCAGCCATGAAAGCCTTTGACAATATATGTTATAAACTGCCTTAAATGGTCAGTATAGAGGAGTGCCCAGCTGTGAGATCATGACCCACTGCCATGCTTGGGGTCACTCTCAGATCGGAGTCCTTCCTTTCGCAACAGCAAGAGCCCAGGAGGTGATTGCCTACCTAGAGCTGGGCTTGGCCATTTGCGAGAATTAATGGTGCCCCCAGTGGCTCAGTGGGTTAAACCACTGAGCTGCTGAACTTTCTAACCAAAAGGTCACAGGTTCAAATCTGGGGAGCAGCGTGAGCTCCTGCTGTTTAGCCTCAGCTTCTGCCAATCTAGCAGTTCAAAAACATGCAAATGTAAGTAGATCAATAGGTACAGCTCTGGTGGGAAGGTAACGGCGCTCCATGCAGTCATGCCAGCCACATGACCTTGGAGGTGTCTATGGACAATGCTGGCTCTTCAGTTTAGAAATGGACATGAGTCCCAATCCCCAGAGTTGGACACAACTGGACTTACCTTTACCTATCCTTCCCTCCAATGAGCAGCTGGGCATTATTTCCTGGAGTATGGACTGCTTTGATCTTCTTTGGGAACTACTGTCCCTCTTATGTGGGAATGAATTCTGCACTCTAAACTTGTCTCTTTACATTAGGGATATCAGGCCCCATCTAATGCAGTTTCCCTAGATCTAGGGAAGTAATGCTACCCCTTTATTCTGCTTTGGTTAGACCACACCTGGAATATTGTATCCAATTCTGGGCACCACAATTCAAGAGAGATATTGACAAGCTGGAATGTGTCCAGAGGAGGGCGACTAAAATGATCAAGGGTCTGATCAAGCCCTGCGAGGAGTGGCTTAAGGAGCTGGGCATGTTTAGCCTGAAAAAGAGAAGGCTGAGAGGAGATATGATAGCCATGTATAAATATGTGAAAGGAAGCCACAGGGAGGAGGGAGCAAGCTTGTTTTCTGTTTCTCTGGCTTCAAACTACAAGAAAGGAAATTCCATCTAAACATGAGGAAGAACTTCCTGACTGTGAGAGCCGTTCAGCAATGGAACTCTATGCCCCGGAGTGTGGTGGAGGCTCCTTCTTTGGAAGCTTTTAAACAGAGGCTGTATGGCCATCTATCAGGGGTGTTTTGAATGCAATATTCCTGCTTCTTGGCAGGGGGTTAGATGCCAAGGTCTCTTCCAACTCTTTGATTCTATGATTCTATGAAGGTAGCTTCTAACTGTGGTGGCCAGTCAACAAACTCCCAGAACCGCATCAGAAAGGAAGCACTGTCTTGTGCAATCACCATTCGGTCTCAAACTGGTTCCAAGATTTCCTATGTAATAATCTGCACAGAGAAAGCACTTTCCTCAGTAAATGTTAGAAAGGGCCTTAAATGGTCAGTATAAACGGTGCTCCAGCTGTGAGATCGCGACCCGCTGCCATGCTTGGGGTCACTCTTAGATCTGAATCCTTCCTTCCTTCCTTCCTTCCTTCCTTCCTTCCTTCCTTCCTTCCTTCCTTCCTTCCTTCCTTCCTTCCTTCCTTCCTTCCTTCCTTCCTTCCTTCCTTCCTTCCTTCCTTCCTTCCTTCCTTCCTTCCTTCCAAGAGCCCGGGAGGTGACTGCCTTCTAGGGCTGGGCTTGAACCTTGTCGAGTTGCCTTCGGCGCGCTGGGCGCTGTCCGCCGCGCCCTGGTGCTGAACCGCGCCTCGCTCCCAGCCCCGTGCGTTGGGCATAGGCGGGGCCAAAGGCAAGCCGCGGAAGCTTTGGGGAGGGCGCCATCTATCTGCCGCGCGGGGCGACGCAGCCGGAGAGGCAAGCCCCTTGGACAACGTCGGAGGAGCGCCTCTGCCAGCTTCCGCGCCCCGATTGGGATCCGAGCGCCCCCAGCGAGCGAGAGAGCGAGCGAGCGAGCGAGCGCCTCCCTCCCTCCCTCCCTCCCTCCCTCCCTCCGCCCCTCTGGGCAGCGGGAGTGCCCGCCTTCAGCATCTGGATGGCAACCTCTCAGCCCTATCTGCGGAGCAGGGGCTCGGGAAGGAGATGGCGTGGCGTGGCGCGGCGTGGCGAGTGAGCCCCCGGCCCAGGAGGTAAGGAAGGCAGGCGGTGGGGCAGGAGGGGAGGGGGCTGTGTGTGTGTGAGCCGCGGGGAGGGGCGGATTCCCCTTCCAGGCAGGGAAGAGGCACGAGTTTGCCTCTCTCCTTGGAAGTCCTACCTGCAAGTGGGGAGGAACAGGCATCACCCTTCTCCCTCCCCCGCCCCCCCCCCGCTCCCCTCCTGCCTTTTCTCTCCCGTGTTTTGGCTTCCCGCCCTCTGCCAACTCGCGCATCAGCTCCTTCTGCTGAACTCCTACACACACGCGCGCACACACATACCCCGCTTAAGTATAATCTGAATCTCCCAACGAGATGACGCACGCGGGGAGGAAAAGGCAGCCCAGCGCCTCTGTATTCCGAGTCCACATTTGGTCTGACTTTCTCCAAGTGGCTCCGCTCCGCATCCCTCGCTCCCTCCCGGCTAAGAGTGCGCCCGTCGGGTGCGGTGTCGTGGAAAACGGACCTAACCCAACGCAGGAGTGAAGTTTTAGCAAAAGGGGGACCTGAAGGACATGAGGCTTTGCCCTCCCCGGGGTGGGAGGGATTGTAGACAACCGAAGGCGCGGAGACTATGTGTCCAGGGAGGCAGCGATGAACTGAAGAGTTGACTCTCCTTCCCATGGAAAGCAAGGGAGTGGGAATGAGAAACTTTGCCGGCAAGAGCTACTAGGGCAAGGGCACCGAAGGAGCCAACAGGTAATTTTTCTGTCCCTCGCCAGCATCACATCCCCATTCTTTGCCACGCATTTTGTGTGTGTGGACGGCTTCTCTTGGATGTTGCCCTCAGTGCCCACGGTATGTTTCCAAACCCCTTTCTTTCCAAGAGAGGCGCTTGAATCTTGGTCTCTGAATCCTCTGAGAGGAGAAAGTTGGAAGCGCTAGAGGAGACTCACCAGTCTGATCAGGTTCACACAGTGAATCCACAAGATGGATTTGAGGGTGGTTGGTTGTGTTGATATGCGTTCCAACTCAGTAGTTTATCAAGCACAGCAATAACAAGGAAAGCTGTTTAGTCACCTTCCCCGGGGCTAATGACGTTGTCTGAGTCCTGCAACCTGCATCTGGAGAATCCAGAGGTAGGCAAGATCATTAACATTTCTTCTCAAGGACGAATCTTTATCTCTCTTCTCTATTCCAGTATGGATCCCCTCCTGTATTATATGGGCACTAGGCAATTATTTCCTTTTACTTTAAGTGTGTGTGTGTGTGTCAGGAGCAACTTGAGAAACTGCAGGTCGCTTCTGATGTAAGAGAGTTGGCCGTCTGCAAGGATGTTGGCCAGGGGACACCCGGATGTTTTGATGTTTTACCATTCTTGTGAGAGGCTTTTCTCATGTCCCCACATGGGGAGCTGGAGCTGACAGAGGGAGCTCATCCATGCTCTTCTCAGATTCCAACCTCTGTCTTGTCAGTCTTCAGTCCTGCCAGCACAAGGGTTTAACCCTTTATGCCACCGGGGGCTCCAGTTAAGGTCAAGCCATTGGTGTGATGTTGAATGGGAGGTTGGATAGGACAAGTGAAGTTTGCATCCTTTTATCCTGTTGCTTTTTAGCTTTGCTGGGGAAAGAAGAGAGGAAATCCTTTGCAAATAGTTTTATTATTCCCCACCATAGAGAATAAGGGTGATGAGAGATTAATTGAAAAAGGGTGTAGAAGCCTTTCCTGAACTTGCATTTTAAATGAAAGGATACTTGAATCTGGAGCCTGACCCATATTTTAAAAGACAATCAAGTAAAGACTCGGCATAGTATTTTCCACCCAAACTTCTTTTCTATGAAACTCCCATTCTAGTTTGTCAGCTATTATCCTTTAGCACTGTTGTGGTCTGTTTGTATAGATAGTACTTATAAATACTTATAAATCTTTTTAAACAAATCCTAGCTAAGGATGTTCGGAGGCATTCCGAAATATTGGCATAGTTGGCAGAAGTTAATGAGATGAAAATTCATCACTTCTTTCCTGTTCCTCCTGAGTGAACAGGAATAAATATGTGCTCCTCCGGAGTGAATAGGCATAAACTTGGAAGTTCTCTTCTTTGGTGTGCTATCAATTCCAGGAAGAAGTGTGGATTTGTCTTTTCAAAAAGAAATCAAATTATTGTCTGTGAAGCAAGATGTAGCCCAAACAAGGCTTATGTCTATATGCCAAAAGGACAAAAAAAAGGGGGGAGGATGGAGTGGCAAGACAGATGAGATCTTTGGGGGAAAGGTCATTGTGAAACAAGAAAGAGAAACTATGTATAGGTTTTGCTGAAGAAAGAGACACTGTGTATAGCTTTTGTTGTATCCTTTTGGGTTAACTAGAAAAAATATGGTCTGTTTGCTTCTGCAGTCCATTGAAATTTGCTTTAACTCAAAAGGGTCACTTTGTGCATACAAGCCCTTCTAGTCTTACTCTCAACAGCAGTCTGTTAGATGAAGGGCATTAGGATGACATTGGTGTCTGAAGGCATCATAACAACCTTAACATTATTTCTAACAATGTATGTCTAATCAAAACTCTAAAATTCCCTTTTCATTGTGTTCAATAGGAAGAGAAAAACACTTTTGTAGAATTTACTTCCTTTCTTATGGTGTTTTACATACCTCACAGTCCTTGTTGTAAATGCTACATATTTATGTGTGCACATGTGCATGGGGGTGTTTCTTTACCCTCTTCTCATCTGGCTATCAAAATAGATATCATTTAAAATACTTTTGCACACACTTGAAGATTGTAGAATATTAAAGATTGTTTGCAGTATTTTCCATCAAGTTTTTATTTTGGGGGGAGGAGGGAGGCTTTAGGGGAAAAATGTAACCCAAACTAGATATTTTACTTTTTAAAGAAAAGGAGTGTATGGTGGCACAGTGGGTTAAACTGCTGAGCTGTTGACCTTGCTGAACAAAAGGTCACCAGTTCAAATCTGGGGAGCAGGATGAGCTCCCACTGTTAGCCCCAGCATTTGCCCACCTAGCAGTTTGAAAACATGCAAATGTGAGTAGATCAACAAATACCGCTCATGTGGGAAGGTAATGGCACTCCATGTAGTCATGCTGGGCACATGACCTTGGAGGTGTCTATGGACAGCACTGGCTCTTTAGCTTAGAAATGGAGATGTGCACCAACCCCCAGAGTCGGACACAACTGGACTTAATGTCTATGGAAAACCTTTACCTTTACATAAGAAGGTATAAACTTAAGGGGATAAGTGGGCATGATGCAAATAATTGGACCAACTGTCTTTGCTTTCTCGTTCCACCACTTTGGCAAAACCAAGTACTGTATGGTTATAGTATCCACAAACTGCACATTTCTGTGGAAATAGGTTTGTAGTTAGACAAAATGAGAGTTCACATTTACCTGTTGTCAAATGTAAAGCATCTATTGTATGCCAATCTGTGGAGCGCTGTTTGCAAACCAAATTGGATACAAAAAGTTTTTCTGCTCATCTCAAACATACTGCTTTTCCATATCAGTGGCCACCAAGTGATATACTTGAAATGCTTGGTATTTTATTTGGAGGAAATATATGCAAATTGCAAATTCCAACCCACTTGGAGGCATCTCTCGCAAGCAATTGAATGAATTCTGAGTTGAGTAGCTTGCAGAACCTCAGACACACACTCAAATACTCTCCAAAATGATACCCAAAACAATGAGTTTCTTCACTTTGTTTATTTCTGAATAAGGTTTTTTGGACATTCTTAATACAGTGAGTATATTGGCTTGACAATCCCTGTAATTCTTAGAAGTGGTCGCTTACAGTGCACCCCTCTTGCTATCTGCTCAGGAAAGCTTTAGGAATTCCAAGAAGACCGACTGGGTGTATAAGACGACCCCCAACATTTCCAGTTAAAATATAGAGTTAAGACGACTCCCATGCATAAGACTACACCCGTGTATAAGACGACCCCTGACTTTTGAGAAGATTTTCTTGGGTTTAAAAGTAGTCTTATACGCCAGAATATACTGTACTTCAAATAGCATGTAAAGGACTACTTCTCAAGACTTCAGTATTATGGATGTTTTATGGAATGGAACTAAGTCACACTGGATTCAGTAAGATATACTTCTGAATAAATAAACACAGAATGCCAAGAGTGATACATTTTAATAGACAGAGTGCTCTATATAATTGTTCGTCCCAACTAGAGCAGACTCACTGAATTAATGGAAGTTACATAAGTATTCATCTATCAAGTTGCCGTCAATTCAGTGGATCTACTGTGGCTGGAATTAGTCCAGTTTGCTTGTACATTTTAATTTCTTGGCCAGTTTTACAATATGTCCACAAACTCAAAAAGCTTTTTTTAAAGAAAGAAGCAAAATGGAATATTTTGAAAGGTGCAACTTACTTATAATCTGAATGTCCTACTGCTGTTTCATGGGACACATTTAGAAAACTTTGAGTGACAATATAGAGTGGACATGCATATACTGGGAATTTATGAAAAAGATCCGCATTATTCAACAGTAGAGCCTCATGTCTAAGATGAATTTTCAGGCAAACTGAGTTTCAAATGTACAATTACCACATAAATCCAGGATGTTCTGAAAGGCTTCAATATGTAGCCCAAATGCTGAAGTCAGTAATTTCCCACTAATACTCCATAGCCATTTGAGTCAAGAATGGCTTTATGAATCCTTAGATAAGAGGTGGGTAAAATGTATCTTGCAGGCCACATGTAGTCCCTCCTAGGGTCAAAACAAATCTCCAAATCTCTCAGAGGTGTAGAAAGCATTTCCACATTTTTGGAGACTTCAGCAGTGGTCAAAATGACATTTTACAAACTTGCTTCAAAATATCCCCAAATGCCCTCTAGGGGCCTGGGAATACCACAAAATATGTCTCTATGTCAGTTCTACCCAGATACCATAATTCAGTTTGGAAGCGGGTTAAAAGGAAGTGGTTTCACCATGCAGTTCCTATGCAAACATCTCAGGAACTGGTTTGATGCTGGGATGGTGGCCACAGTATCCACTGAATGTGGATCTGAACTGAAGCTAGGAGCCACAGTATCTGTGGCTAGACAGCTGCTGGACAATGCAGGGTTTTTTTCCTCAGCCATCCCACTGAGATGTGCTGATGTGCATATCTATGTCCATTCAGGAGCATCGTGGTTTGGAATTCTGCATGGAATGTACAGTACTATGATCAGCTGCAGTACATTATCTGGCTTTTTCCAGGCATTCTGGTAAGATTTTTAATGCACTGTTTTAGGCTTAACAAATTCTGCAATGCACATTGGGGATGTATGTCTTGTGGAGACACCGCTCTCCAGCTGGCTTCAAACTGTATTATAGTATCTATAGAAATAGCTAATATAGAACTGCCCTATATCCAGGGTGCTTGAAGGCAAAAATGTTTCTTTTGCAGAGACAGGTACAGTCCTCCAAGGTCTCCTGGAGAGCTAATTAAGCCCCCTAGTCTTCCAGTATTGGTCACCCCTGCCCTAGATTTTATCATAATTGTTTGACAGCTATATTGCCACTAAAAAAAACACCTGTATGCCATATGTCATATTATAAGAGATTAGAAATAAGTTCTATTCCAGTACACTCATAAATAAAATGAGTTTTGTAGCATAACTCATACAAGTTGACTGATCATATGAAGCTCTTTAATTGTTTTAAAGTAATCCTTTCTTCCTACAATCATCTCCATGTAACAAATACTTACTTAACTTATAGGACTGTGCTCTGTTTTCCTCAGG